TCTCAAAGTCTCTCCTCAGAGATGAAACACTTTTCCTCTAAAACATACAGGATTCTGTCATGATGGTGATTGAGATCACTGTCTGTCACCTAACTGCAAAATCTGCCATAGGCGCTCTGTTGGCTTGAAATCCAGTGGCGGTGAAGTCAGTTACATATGATTGTCATCATTTTTGTACTAATCAAACCTTTCAAAGAGCCTTTGTGTCTTGTGCAAGTCTCTGTATACAGTAATTTGTGAAGGTTTTCAAGGTGTTACCTTTATTTTTGGGGGGCTTGTAGTTCATAAACTAAAGTAAAGGTGACTCACTCGTCTGCGTATTATTTTCTGTATGTCTTCAAAGGTGTTTTTTTGAAGGTTGAACTTGAAAAATGCCTTGTCGTTTAACAATAGTCACAATTTCTATGAAAATCTTTCGTTTACTTTCCACCTTCTTCATGCATCTCACTTGCTAAAACGTTAATGTTCATCTTGCACAAGATTTGCACAAACTACATCACTTGTGCATTTTGCACCATCGTGCCCTTCACATATTGTTTTAGGAATGTTGTTGGGAAAGATAAAACCCAGTTAGAGGACTCCTGGTCAATAGTGTCACATGCTTTGTGGTTTGATGAAAGGTTCTATTTGTGCAGCCTGATGTGTATAGCTCTCTAATCAAAGACTTATATTTCTGTGACAACTAAAATAAATTACTCCATTACAATCGCCCACCTGCCCTCTCCACAGTATTGATACCGTTTTATTACCAGAGAGAGACAGATGGACAACACGGAGGATTGCGGCGAGTTATGGGAATACTGGAGAGTGTGTGCTCGTGGTCATGTAATGTCATGTCACGTCAGAACAAAAGTAATCAAATAAGATGATTAGAGAGAAAATTACACGTGTTCAGCCCCACAAACATTTCTGATATAAGGCACGGTGAAGAATAAGTCCGTGGCCTGGGTTCCAGTGCAGACTGGGCTTATTACAATACTTTAGCCAATTTAAGCCTGCAAGCCTCACTTCCCCCATCAGCAAGTGAAAGAGGGGAGAATTTGGTCTGAAAGCCCAATCACACACAGCGCTCTGAGTTCAGCAGGTGGGGAAGTAGCAGCAGCAGGCTCCATCAGGCAATAATACAAAGTTAATGATGCAGAATGGTGTCTTTCTCCATACCAAAGAAGACGTCAATACAGGATGTTTAAGAACGCTGTTCCTAATTACGCTTTTTAAATTCACTACTGACGTGATTGATGATTTCAAAGGGAGGCATTATTGATCCACTTCACAGACAAGTCCCATCGATTGCAAGTCTAGAATGAATAAAAGTTTTTTTTTTTTTCCCCCTTTATCTCCCCCACTGAGAGGGAGATTGTACAATCAGAGCATCAGTGTGACCTATATGGGTAGTTTGGGAGCTAAATCACCTCTTTTAAAAAGCAGTCTGAGCAAGGACGTATGGAGCAGTGATTGCTGAGTCGAGGGACCTTGGGGGACCTTCAGGGCGTCGCATAAAATGTAACAGTTAAATCTCGCTGCTCTCTCATTTATCACATGTGGAAATTCATCCATCCATTCATTAATCTGTGGGATCCTTTACAAATAGCCTATCTGTGTTGGAGTTCTCAGCATGATAAAGTTCAGGAGCAGCTGTTTTATAGACAGTCAGCCGGCTGTGCAGCATCACGCCTCTCACTGCAATCAGCGGTGATGGAGTGATGGATGCTCTGGCGCACTGACAGATTGTTTTTTCCCACCTCTGCTCCCTGTTGACATGCCCCATGGCTTGTGCTTATAATTCCATGAACTTTGTTATTCCTCGTGAGCAGCGAGGTCTCCTTATTAGTGCAGAAGCTGCCAGTTATTGCATGTCTAATCCCAGCTACTGTTATTAGTACATCAACGAGAGAGGCTGGCGGAACAAAACCTGGTGTGGCAGAAAGTCTGACACCACCTGGTTCAGCTGCAGGAAAAAAAATCTGCATATTCAGGCAGATTTGACCTATTCCCTATCAATGCAACGAGTTCTGTTTGAATTACAGAAAACAAGATTGATTAGGAATCAACAGCACGCTGAATTGCAGCAGCAGAGAGAGGTTTTCCATCACACCGTGCTGAATCTCATTGGCAAGTGCACTTCAAATAGCAAAGTGGGCTACAGCTTATGATTAAATGGTCTGCAGGCGAAGCCTTTTTGTCTTTTTTTTTAGAGAGAGAGCTCTTTCTGAAGGCCAAAGTTAATGCAGTCATAGAAAGAACTCTGATACACTCCCACGTGAAGTGGCCATGTGAGGAAAGCCCGGAGGGAGAAAAGGCCTTGAATGAATTTGAGAGAGAGAGAGAGAGAGAGAGAGAGTGGGAGAGAGGCAGATAGAGAAAAAGTTCAAACATTACTGATCCTCAAATATCCTTTTGGTTTCTGGTTCAATTGGAATTCGGCAGTAAGTGTCTGCTAAAAGCTCCATTTTTGTTGCCCCTCCATTGCTGCTGAGCTTTTAGAGTTAGATGATGACAGATTGTGAGCTACCTGATATCCTTCATCATCCTCCCCAGTGGAGGTGTTTGTTCCGCCCTGAGCAAGTCCTCGAGGACTAACAAACAGCCGGCGTGTTTGATGGACTATGGGGAGACATCTGCTCTGCCTGGCTTTGCCATACAGAATGAAAACAACATGTTACAGTAATCAATCAATATGCAAACTGTGTCCTTTTAGTCTGATGATTAACCTTACAGACTTCATGGTTATCAAGTCATTATATCAGCTTGTCATTGTGAATTAGCGTTGAGGATTTACAGGGAGTGAGTGTGACAGCATGCACTGTTTTCCTCACATTGGCATATTGCTTTAAGCAGCGATGCTCGATATATCCTCAGCAACACTGTCACAACTGTGCTTCGAGCACCCTCGGGGATAAGCTCTGTTCTGTGCACTCAGGGGACAAGAGGGAAAGAAAAAGTCTGCGTAGTGCAATCTGATTTGTGGTTATAGTCGCAGCATAGCTCACAAAGTAATCTAGAGAATATCACCCCCGCCAAAAGATCCTTTGAGCACCGTCATCCATTTTAAACTGCAAGTTGCTCATGTCGGCAGATGTGTTTGTGCATTGTGATGAGCTGATTTGGAGTTGCTGTTGGCGGATTTTAGCCTCCGAATGTCCTACCTGCTGTAGACAGGTGGTTCCTGAGGCCCCAGAGGGTTTCTGGGAGTTACAGAGCGTTTGCTGCAAAATGACGCACAAGCGTTATTTTATTTTGGTACTTTATGCATTAATGTAAATGTAAAACAACCATGTAATTACTTTACATGTCAAAGTGGTTTCAAGGCCTGCAGAACAGTGTTCCTCCCTGCATGCGCACATACTTCCTTAAATTGAATTATCTTCCATCTCATCCTTTGGCCCCTGCTTGTTTGTTTCTCTGTGCCCTGCTCTCCTGCAATCATCCTGATCTACTGTTTTGATTGAAGCAATTATGCTTCTTCTTCTGGAGCAGTCTTTATCGAACCACTAGGAGAGTAGTTAAATATCAGCATATATCATCTATATATGTATATTACATGTAACTAGCATAAGTCAAGGCATTGAACAAGAAACATTTCGATCTGAGGTTTCTTCTGATGGAACTCATTTAATTTAGACCCTGGGATCAAATTACTATTTGCAATAGTGGAAAGTAACTAAATACATCTACTCAAGTACTGTATCCAATTACAGTATTGAGTCACTTGTGCTTTACTTGTGTATTTCCATTTTCTGCTACTTTAAACTTCAACTACACAATGCAGAGGCAACTATCGTACATTTTACTCCACAGCATTTATCTGATGTCTTTAGCTACTTTGCAGATTTAGTTTGATAATCCATAATATAACTAACAAATGGATTATAATGTAATGTTACAGATGGAGAAAAAAAATCTCAAACTATTCACCAGATAAGTATTTCAGCAGCTTCAACCTTAAAGCGAAGAACGCATTCATGCATCAGTCATTATAATTCAGTAATATAATATACATTATTCTAAAATATGCCATTCTGCATAATGAGTAGCCTACTTGTGGTACTTTACATATATATTGATGCTAATACTTTTCTTCTTTACGTCAGTACAAATGAAAATGCATTCATTAATGCATTCAACCTTTACACAAACTCAGAGGACATTGAGGTAACAAAGCCTCATTTACAGAGTCGCTGAGAAAGCGATGTAGGAACACAAATAAGAAACTTTTAATAGAGTGCTAAAAACACTATTTTGAGTATTTAAAATGTTGAAAACAAATGAATCAGCTAAAATGCAAACAGATGGAGTTAAAATAAAATTAGAAAAGTGAGTTGCCCAAAGGAGAAGTCCAGCTTCATATTGTTTTGCATGTTATTCCACATTGCAGGTGCACAGTGAGTAAAACAGGATTTTTTTAAGCTCAATAAAAACAGCCGGCACCGGCAGTGCAACCTAATCATTTGAGTGTGCATGATAAGAGTCCATAAAAGACTGCAATGAAGTTATGTCAGGGAGCGAAAAAAACAAACAAAACAGAACTGTAAATGCCTTATAAATAAATAAAACCCAGCGTCTATCACTCCTTGCAGGGAGGGACCTCAGCATACTGATGAGTAATGTAATTATTACGAGTAATAAATCTTAATGCAAACAGTGTCCAAAGGCTTAAGAGTGACAGCTGATGCATGCGTGTATGAAATGTCAACACAATCCAGGACTGATAGAAAAGTTGCCTCAATAAGCATTTTTAAGATACAGTGTGAAGCATTTTTTATTCTGCTAAACGAAACCAACTAAATTTAAATGCAGGGCTTATAACGGAGTGTTCCTACGCTGTGGTGTTTTTGCTAAAGTAGGAGATGTTTCCCTGCAGCTCTGGACACCAGCACACACTGACGAGTCCTCCACTGGTTCTATGGAGCAGCGCCCTGCAGTGCTCCTGTCGGCCGGTAGGAGGCGCTGCAGCTTCCTCCGCTCCTTGTTACGGACGCTCTTCAGACCGGAACACGGCCCTCGTTGGTCAAAGCAATATGGTGTCGCCCTGTAGGCAATGTGAGCTTAAACAAGCCGTTCACCTCTCAAACCGAAGCTACCGTGTTTCTGTGTGAGCTGCAGCAGCTGCTGTCTTCGGCTTCATGGCTCTGCGGGTTTGTGGACGCGTCCTCAGAGACTCCGCCATCTTGTCCCGGCGGCTCGTCGTGTCGTCTCGACCGGAGCCTGCGTCATGGCTCCTCACCGCGGGTCAGTCACCGAAACGGTCTACCGCTACGGAGTTATTACACTTTTACAGTAATGCTAAACGTATTAGGTCGTTATTAAAACATGACTTCAATACAGAATGTTGAAAGTGTGGCCTTAAGCTCGGTAGCTAGCTCACTGTCAAAACAAATCAGTGCGCAGCTGAGGTTTATGAGCGATGCTATCATGAACAAAAACGTTATGATACCATTTTTAAATGAACCTCACCAAGGCCAAGAAATAATGTGTCGGTGAGTCAAGAGTGTAAATACAGAATAAATGGCAGATAATACGACATGTATATCAAATGTGAGGGGAAAAGTTGTGATTGGTCCATTTGAGAACAGTGTGTTTACATCCACATGACCTCCACTATGAAGACGTTTTTTTTGTTTTTGTTTTTTTTTTAAGCATCATTTTTATTTTTATTTTAATATATATTAACGCTTTGAGTATACTCTACACTTTAAAGGTTTGCCAGAATTTAAATCCCCCCTTTAGTGAAAAATAATATTTGAGCTTTGTTGTGCAGAATAATATGTTTGACCCTAGAAGTCTGTTTTCACAGGACGAACATTTCCCTGTTTTTACCTTAAATATGACATTATGACATGTATAGTGTGTACGAGCCAGAGCTGCAGTAACTTATCAGTTAGTTGTTAACTATTAAATGATTTGAGTATTTTTTTTTAGACAAAAAGCAACACTCCTCTGATACCAGCTTCTTAAACTTAAAGTATTTTTCTGGTTTCTTTCCTCCTCTGTGGCAGTAAGCTAAATGTCTTTGGTTTGTGGACAAAACACAACATTTGAGGACATCCTCTTGGCCTTTGGAAAACACATTGATCACCATTTTCCCAATTTTATTAACATTTTGAGACCAGAAAACGAATCTGTAAAATAATCGATAGATTAAACAACTGTGAAAATGATCTTTAGTTGCGGCGCTAGTATGAGCATCGTTTTGGGACATCGCAACTGCAGACAGGCAACGAATTGCAGGACAAACTAGAACCTCTGACCTCTACAGTGACAGGATGCTGAGGCTCTGTTACGATGTGGGAGGTGTTTAGGGTTGGATCCACTTGTCCTCTTAGAAAAAAAGACTCACAGCAAATCAGTATAAAGCTGTTCTGAGTGATCGTCTGTATACATTGAATGAACATTTCTATCCTGATGGGAGTGATCTTTTTTCAGGAAGACAATGTCTTCGTCCACAAGTCACGAGGGGTCACTGAATGGTTTGATGAAAGTACTGTGAATCATATACTGTGGCTTTCACAAAAAACAGATCTCAACCCATTCAAACACCTGTGGGAGATTTTCGGGGTCATACAAAACAACAAAACAAACCAACAATAAAAACAGCAAAGAACAAATGAAAACAAATAAAGCAGAGCGAGGTCTCATGCTGGGTTAAAAGCCAGTGAATAAAAGTGGGTCTTGAGGTTGGTTTTAAAAGCAGACAGTGAGGAGGCCTGCCTGATGTGCAAAGGTAGATCGTTCCAGATTTTAGGAGCAGCAACAGAGAATGCTCGCTCCCCTCTGAGCATTCGCTTGGACCTCAGTACCTCAAGGAGCAGCTGATCAGCTGACCGGAGGGGCATAGGGGAGAACATACACAACTATTAATACATTCTGTTTTCAGTCAGGGACAAGAAGTAGATGTAAGTTGAGATTTTTAGGTAATCAGGCAAAGTATTTTTATATGTCTTAAAATATATCTGGAGGGGATGCTTAACGATGGGTCAGGCTCACAAACTGGGAAGCGTGGGTTGAAGTGGGTCACTCCACAGTACATCCCGACATTTGTTCAGCAAGAGCTGCCTATTGTCAGAATAGATTCATCTGAAATATTTTTACCGGATGAAGTAATTGTATAACTAAAAAAAAAACGGTCAACTGTCTATTACAGGGTTGCAAAACCCAAAGATACAGTTGTTTTCAATTTACTAAATCCAACAATGAAACCTCAGCTTTGAATAACCAAGAGATGTTTGACGGTTCTCCTTGATAAATTATCCGTTTATATAACTGGTATTTATCTGGTGATGAACTATTTGTGCTTCAAGCTTTACTGACCATCATTTAAGAAGTTTTCCTGTAAACAAAAAAAGTATTTTTTATGTTTAGTGTTTCTCACCTTGCATTTTCTGTATCATTAAGTTTTAACAAATAAGTTCCTCTCGTTATGAAACTGATTTTAAAAATCTTTTAAATCCTTAATTGTTTACACTTATATTTGCTTGCTACCAGTTTCCGTCTCCACTGTCTGTGCTGTCAAGGTTTGTTTACTTGTTACCACCACCAGCTGTTAATCAGTGGAGCACAAAGCTAACTCAAAGATGAGATTTATGTTACTGTCACATAATGCTAACGAACAAAGGATCCACAAGTTGAACATTCCTTTGTAGCACGACGAGGGGTCAAAAACATCCACAGGGAACTTTAAGGGATGCAGTTTTTGGGTAAATGGTTTACTGCACATGTAGATTTTTAGTTTTCCCAAAGTGTTACTTGGTTTGGATAAGACATTTCCATTATTAATTTAAAAAATGTGTTTGTTTTTTTTTTTGACGAGGCACATTTGAATGCATCATTATTTTGTGTCGTATTAACTTCCAAGTAAGCAGAATCAGTCAGTGATGTTGCGGTCCTGCTGGCAGCGAAGTGATGGAGATGTTGATGTCTTTACAGGAAATGCTGCCTGCAGCCGAGGAGGGAGGAACGGATTTATCTTCACTCCCGCTTGTTTTATTACATCAGAGGCATTTCTCAACAGACTGATGAAAGGCAAAGCAGCAGAGGCAGACGGCAACATTTATCGCCTTCCAGCCTCAGTTCCGCCAGATAGCGGTAACCGGACCACTGCCTCAGAGATTTACATCTCTAAACTTGTCTGATCGTTCTGGCCCAGAGTCTTTCCAAAAAAAAAATGCAGATATTCTCCTGACACCAATCTGATGTCGTAGCTAATTGTTAAACTGGTGTCATTTTCACTGTCTAATGATTAATTTTGTCTCCTCAGGTGAACAATTATCTTTGTTACTGAGACATCCAGATCAGCCGGAAAACTCCAAGGTTTTGAAAGTGGCTATATTAGGTGCTCCAAACGCCGGGAAATCCACACTGACTAACCAGCTGCTCGGCAGAAAGGTCCGTGTCTGTCTTTTAAACCTGCATGACGTAATGTATTTGTAAAGGAGGAAGGAAGTGCTTACTTTGTAAAATCAATAATCATCTCTTAAAGGTGTTTGCTGTGTCCAAGAAAGTACACACCACACGGTCACGAGCACTGGGCGTCCTGACAGAGAACGATACACAAATAGTAAGACTTTTTTTTATGTCTCTTCTGTTCTAATTTACTAATATCACTCAAAAGCCAAATGTCAATAGCTGTGTGTGCATTTTTTGTAGATCTTACTGGACACTCCTGGTCTCACCACCCCTTCAAAGGTCAAAAGGTGCCTCTCTTATGTAGATATGTAATATGAATCAAACCCTGTAGTCTCCATGTGGTTCTATTGTACAGTGGAGTATATGAACGGGCCTTCTGTCTTCACAGACACCAGCTGGAAAAGTCTTTGCTCATGGATCCCTGGAGCACCGTTAAAGAAGCTGACCTAAGTATGATATATTTACTCTGAGTTGTTTATTAACTGAACCCAAGCTGCAGTTTTCGTTTTGATGCTGATTTAACGTCAACGGGGGAACGCAGTGCTGAGTTTGAAGGACTTATAATTGGAACTGTTTCCATCTTGCAGTGGTAATCATGGTGGATGTGGCAGACAGATGGATGTGCAGCAGGCTTGACTTCGAGGTGCAGAAATGTCTGGCCCAGCACCGGCATATCCCAGCAGTCCTCGTCCTCAATAAGGTGCCCTCTCCCACAGTAATATACACTGGTTGCACTGTCATCAGATATCATCCACATTAACAGAAAATCCAAGGGAGTACACACTCATGCACATGTGGGAACGTAGTGATTGATGTGTGAGCATCCTCATGTTTAAACCTCCAGTCATGTACGTGTTCAAAATACCCACCAAAGATTCTTGTCTGAACGAAATGATGACTGTTCAATAGAGGCCCGTTTAACTTTTAATCTGTTGTCCATGAGCAGCTCTCAGTTCTTGCTTTATTAATAACTGTGTGACAGGTGTGTGTAGCAGCTTACTGTAAAGCCTGTCCTGCAGTGCACCGTTCAGCTGTTACAACAAGCCATCATTTGTTCTTATAATCCATTAAGGGGCTTTGTAGTCTATCACAGAAGCACTTTATTTTTGGACTCTTTAGAAAAATCATAAAAGCGACGATTCAGTGTTTTATCTGCGTATTTATGTGTTGATGACTGTTCAAACAGCTCTTAACTGTTTCAGTGAATGAGACTGTGAGCAGGTATGTCAGCTCTCTCCTCTCCACGCACTGGTTGTCTTGTTAGCTGGTAAAGGACAGCACCAGTGATGGTTTCAGATCGGCCTGTTGCTGATTTACACACGATCGTTGCTGTAGCACATGTGTTTAGAAATCTACTGCAACACAGAAGTAACCTTTAGACATGTAATATGGACAACTGTGATAAAAAATTTACATAATTTGGTTTGTTGACGGGCTGCACGGTGGAGCAGTGGTTAGCACCGTTGCCTCGTCGAAGGTTGCCGGTTCGCGTCCTGGTGAGGACACCCAGAATCTTTCTGCGTGGAGTTTGCATGTTCTTCCCGTACAGCGTGGGTTCTCTCCGGGTTCTCCGGCTTCCTCCCACATAGTCCAAAAACATGTTGAGGTTAATTGGTGATTCTAAATTGTCCATAGGTGTGAATGTGAGTGTGCTTGGTTGTCTGTCTCTAAGTGTAGCCCTGTGATAGACTGGTTACCTGTCCAGGGTGTCCCCTGTCTTCGTCCTGAGTCAGCTGGGATAGACTCCAACCCCCCACGATCCTAGTGAGGACTAAGTGGTGTATAGGTAATGGATGGATGGTTTGTCGACGTTATAGAGCCATACCTTCTTTTTGCACAAAGCTGTTGTGGAAATTAAATAATGTGTTGAAAATGTTTAATTCCTTTTTGCATTTTTGTTTTACTTCTTAGTTTTGTCACTAGAATGTAATGTCCTTCTTTGTGGGCTTTGGTTTTTCAAAGGTTTTTTTGATAGTACAGAGGTATATAATTGGACCGTGCATTTCATTTTAAAACATTACGATGTGCGCTCTTGTCGACATGGAAGATTCTTAACATATCTTCACTGATGTTGTTCTGCCTTCCAGGTGGACCTGGTGAAGGCGAAGGACAGACTGCTGGACATCACAGCAGTGTTGACATGTGGAATAGTAAACGGACGCCGAATGCGGGTCAGACCAGTCATCAAGCCTCCGTGGGCTGAAAAGAGGCCAACAACGGATTCAGAGTTAACGCTTGATGAAGACAACACAGTACCCAACAACAGCAGCGACGAGCCAAACGCTGCACTGAGCAAAGAGCAGCTGAAGGAGCTGAGGAGCCAGCAGGGCTGGCCGCACTTCAAAGACGTCTTCATGCTGTCCTCTGTGGACAGAGAGGATGTGGAGACGCTGAAGGTAAACATTCATGGTCACAGCAAGAAAACTGTGATGTTCAAAACGCCTGTTGTAACACCATTGTAATAAAAACAACCCCACTGAAGCTCAAAGAACAGACTCAGTACGTGAACTAACAATCACACAAGGCTGCCGTGAAAAGGAAAAAACATATAAAACTAATGATTCAAAGATAATCCTTTGTCTTCATAAAATATAGCTTTTATTGTTGCAGAATTTTGTTTAACTTCATGTTTTTATCTGTTCTTGCAGACCTACTTTATGGTTGCAGCCAAGCCAGGATCGTGGCAGTACCACAGTGAAGTCCTGACCGATCAGAGTCCAGAGGACGTCTGCACAAATACCATCAGAGAGAAGCTTCTGCAGTATCTGCCCCAGGAAGTGCCCTATTCACTGACACAGGTGACTAACGAACCATGTCTGCAGGGCCACTCCCAAGTCACATGACGAGCTGACAGCAAACTGACTTCACCCGTCACGTCTCACTGCTGATTCTGTGACTTATTTAAAGCCCCTCATTCGTTCTACGTGTTGACATGTGATGTAGCTGTGGACCCCACCCTCCACCTGCTTGAGGGTCATTATGTCATTTCAAATCCTGGGTTTATTCTCTTTGTTCTCTGCATGCTACTCATCATGTTGATCTATCGTAACATTCCTGCGTGTAGAATCACACCAATAATTCAGACTTCACTGTGATCCTGATCAGTTATTGTTAGGACTTGTTGGTATATGATGGGACTTTATTGGCTTTTCTAGAAATGAGTTCATCTCTAACATAAAAACATCTCTGTTTTCAGTCTATTGAACTCTGGCAGGATGGAGACGATGGTGAACTCGATATTTCTGTGAAACTTTACACCAAGAAAGAAACTCACATGGTAAGTGCTCTCACACGTTTATGGCTTTTGTCACTACTTTACGAACTCTAATCATACAGTACGTCCAGCTGATGGTATGAAATGTCTGTTCTGTAAACAACATAAACAGCCATAACGTTAAAACCACCTGCCTAATAATGTAGAGGTCTCCTTTGTGCTGCTAAAACAGCTCTGACCCGTTGGGACATGGGACGTCTCTGCTATCCGGCACTGGGAGGTTGGCAGTGGATCCTTTGGGTCCTGAGGATTGTGGGGTGGGGCCTTTGTGGATCAGATGTGTTCCAATGCAAGCGAGTGTGGAAGCTGTTTAAATGCCTTGGACTCTTTGTTATATTCCTCCAGCAGTTTTTACAGTGTGGTGGGGAAACTGTGCTGGCGTGGTGATTGTGCTCAGTGTGGAACAATGGGTGGGTGGGTGATAATGTCAAAGTAACATCCACAGCAGTACTAGAACCCAAGGGATCAGTGTTATTAGCTTCATCTGCTGGTGGTTTTGATGCTGTGCCTGACCAGTGTTTATACCTTCCCTCCTTTCAGTCAGGGCATCATGAGGTCAGACTTTTGATTTATTCAGTATTTTTTGACTAAACAAAAAATAACTGGAGGCATTCTGTTTTTGGGTTGTCTATCCAGTTCTTAAGAACCTAAGATCTCAGGAATACCTTGAGGGAATTTTTTCAGATTTGGCACAAACATTCGCTTGGACTTAAAGATGAAGAATTTTGTGGTCAAAGGTCACAAAAGATATTTTTGGTCAAATTTCAAGAGCTCGTAAACAATGTGACAACATTTTACAAAAATGTCTGATAGGGTAAAGTGATAAAGGGACAACACTTGATTTCCAAAACTGTGACGTCATGATGATCTGCAAAAACAGTCTTCTGGTCATTTGTTAACGCTGTATCTCAGGCGCAGAGTAAAAGATTATGACCATATTTCACCTTTGGTCCAAGCAAAAAATCTGAAGTGGCAAAAACTGCAGTTCCTCCAATGTCCACTTGAGGCTTGACCTGAAAGTGGGTCAGTTCCCACAGACCCCCATATTAAAATGTCCACATTTGCTGCAGAAATAAACACGTTTACAGCCTGGTACAAAAACAGTTTTCCTCTCTATAGCTAGTTTCCCCAACAATGACGACTGTATGGAGGGTACGTTTTTATAGAACTCATGCATTTACATTGTCTTAAGGCTTAATGTTGTGCATCATTAAAGGTGTGGCTGCTCTGAGGGACAGGTGGATACAGCCACAGGACAATCCACGGTCTAGAAACAAACTTAGCCAGGTGTCAGGTACTGCCAAGATGGTGGCAGGTGGTAATAGTCCTAATTCCATTTATTACATGAGTATAGACACGCATGCAATCTGCTGTTTGACTGGTTGGCGTCCAAGTCCCAGTTGTAGTTTGTTTTATGTGACTTGGCTGCTGTAATCCTGCAGTTTCATCAAGTCATCATATAATTCGGCATTTATTTCACACTGCTAGAAGTGACAAAATCATACGACTTGAAAGTGGATGGTCGTGTTCAAAACAGTCTAAAACATCTCACAGAGCCTGTTTGTCATCACAACCAGGACAATCAGATGTTCTTTCTATTCGGCAACTCCTTGGATAGAAATAGCCCGGTTTGACGTATTACAGACTAATTCCGGATGCTGAGCTCGTGGCTGGCACATGCCTGAAGGAAGTGAAATCTTTATCTCTCTCGCTGACACCTGTAGCCTCTGTGATGGCTTCTGATATTTGTTTGCCGTTCCCCCATACCTCCAGATTCCTTTTTCCTTGTGTTTTTAACTCGTAAATATTTGAACAGCCTTTCTGAAGCATGCATATTTGATGACAAGGAATATTTGAAGCTACATCTGTGGTGCTGAAATGTTTCAAGGCCAGTGACCTCCTGGAAGAGTTACTCAGACCAGCGCCAGTCTTCGAGCTTTTGCATTCAACACAGCGTGGACTAGAGAGATGTGGACTGGTAGGACTCACATCGACGGCTGACCAGTTTCATCTGTTTTATGAATGGCACCCGATAGGTTGAGAGTTGGGTGCGATCTTTCAGATGAAAGACGAGGCTCACACAAAGCCCAGAAGAGTAAAATATATTGAGTTATAGAGTTTCCATTGTAATGATTTAACAATATAGAACCAACATCTTTAATCAAAAATGCTTCATCTTTGCCAAGTTCTTGTGCTGCGGTCACACAGTGAAGATAGATCTCACATCTTAAACTGGACCTTCTAAACCCTCAATGGTTACAGCTGATGATATGAGAGGCTGCTTTGGACAACTTATGTCTTATCAGCCTGTGTTCTGAAGTCAAAGATATTAATCCAATACAGTTTTTGTCAACTTCAGTGAGTATCTGCTCATGGTCTAATCTGGGGTTCGTACACAACTCCAGCTCTGTTAATGGGACACAAACAAACCGATCAATACAAAACTATTCCATGTTTGAGCTCAGCACCGGACAGGAGGACAGGGGACGGTGGTATGAGAGGGACGGTAAATACAGGACGTGCTAAGTAGCTAACTATCAACGTTTTTCTCCAGAATCAGACTCCACCTTTAAAGATTTTCCCTACATACAATGTGTTTGCTCCGTGGTGCCTGATGTCGCTGTGTTTCTTGTATCTGCAGAAGATGGTGATCGGGGCGGCCGGCCAGATGGTGGCACAGATAGCCCGAGAGGCGGGCGAGGACCTGAGCAAGGTTTACATGAGGGAAGTAAGGCTGAAGCTCTCAGTCAAGCTGAGGAAGTGAAGAGGACGGAAGGACTTTCATGGGGACGTTCTGAAGAGGTGGAAACTGATCCTGCTGGATTTAAGATGACTCTCAGAGGACAGACTTGGAGTCGATGGAGGCTCATGCAGCAGCCACAGTCGTCCACAGAACTCCCACTGACCTGTTATTTCTGAGATGATCCGTGTTATGACTTTTATGTCTTTATGCATCAGCAGCATCCTTTCATGCAGTCGCAGGAAACATTATTAAAGATGTATATGGAGCTGTTACCTACCAGATGCAGCTCTGATAGTGGTGGGCTGCCTCCACTTCATGCAGAAATCTAAATGTTGATTAAACGCGGCCCACACAAGCTACAGAACAAACTAATGAATTGTTGGCTTTTATTTAGCAGTGATATATTTTAGGTAACAAACATGACACAGGCTCCCATCAAATGGATGTTTTGACACAAGTTTGACAGTGTGTTCACGGCTGAGCAGGTTTGGCGAGCTGTGAAAAGGCCGATGGTTTATCTTTGGCTCTCAGAGCTTTTTACTTGGCGGACGTGTAGATAAGCCGAAGCAGGACCTGCACAGTCATGTTCACTCAAACGTCCCTGATGTACCACTTTAGCTTTCTCCACTGCCTTTGAAGTGTGGCCATCCGTCCCAGCGACTCTCACTTTTTGTTCTGCTGCTTTCTTCCTTTTTTTTTCCTCCCCCTCCTCCTCCTCCTCTTCTCTTCTCCTTCCTCTTTACCCACCCACCCTCACCCCTCTTCTCCCTCCCTCTGCTTTTTTGGCTCTTATAAAGCCCAGCTCTGCCCCCGAGGGCTGAATTGTCTCCCTAATGGATGGCAAAATGGAGCACTAACCTGATGCTAAAATGGGTCAGATAATGGTGATTAGATTCATTCCTGCTGCCTGTGAGTTAACTCGACGGTTACTCTATCCGGGGCATCTTGATGAATAACCAGCTAGTGGCCTGAAGCGAGGGAGGGAGTGAGGGAGGGAGAGGCCTTGAATGTCTCACAGAAGCTGTGTCAGCCCCTCAAGCTTTTTCTCCCCGCTCTCTACAACGTCTGCTTCCCAGTGATTAGACAAGCTGGTTGCACAGCAGAGATCGCCACTTAGACAAGCCAACTGCAGCTCCAAAATATTAAAGCCGATGCACGTCAGCCGGCGCGTTAAAGTAATCCTTCAAACACGTAGATGTTTAGAATGCTGATACCCTGCTCTGGATGGAGGTTTTTACCAGAAATAATGAGGCGCTCATTTGAGAACCGTAAGCTTTATTTTACATGCATCTCAAAAACCGGAATCAAAACATGTCCTCCAGAAAGCTCATGAATAACACATCAGCCACCAGCTTCTCCTTTTCTCCGTCGCCTTCCTCGATGACATTGAGCGAAGGCCGTAGAACCCTTACCATTACTAAAACTCAGTAATGGTAACGGTTTGACGGCCGTCCTCTGCACTGTGTCGGGTCTTCAGTCGGTTGGGCCTGAGCGTGTGCTGATAGCGCCGGAGAGGGAATGAAACCCTGGATAGTACATCATCTATACTGTAGTGTCTCTATTATAAACTTACAGTATAAGATGATATCCTGTCCAGGGCACAAGACGTAGCGATGGAGCAGCGAGGTCTTGCTGTGTTTGTGATCTGCAGGACAAAAAGCAGACGACTCATTAGTGATGCACGCAGAGGAGGTCAAACTGTTAATAATGTGAGAAAAAAAAAAGGTGTTAGAAGAAAATTCCCTCTTCATTAGAGTTTCCTGTCACCTGCTGCAGCGCCTGGAGGCCTCGCTGACCTCCAGCGTTTCACACACTCACCTCATGCGGTTGCGTCTTTCCTTCAGTCGGGTTCACGGTCTCCTAACTGGTCTCGGTGCTGGTCTCCGGCACTTAAAGGACCCCTCTGCCTCATTAGCATACTGTGATGACATCTGGGGTGGACCAGACGGCACTTTTTCTTATCTGCTTCTAACCTGATTGCCTCTGTCCGGCGATGGCCCACACCCTTACTACACCCTGCACAAGTGAACACAGATCCATTTATGTTTCCACTGCAGATACGTTGGCTGTTCGTTAAGATGAAATAAAGTGCAAAAAGAGATGATGTAGCCACAACTTTAGCTATGACGGCAAAGGGTTAATCAATTTGCCATTTTCAGTGGTTTATAATATCAATTTGCACCGAAGCTGACATTTTAGCAGCAGCAGCGGCATAAATACGTGTTACACATGTTCTTCCACTTTGCAGAGTTTCCTTGAGTTTGACCTTGGTCATACTCGGCTAATTAAAAGAACCCAGCAGTCAGCCAAAACACGGTCCCTCCATCATTTTTTAAAAAAGCTTGGAACTTTATCTCACCGTGTGGTAATAAATCTAACGTTCACCATCCCTTCAATCCTCGGAGTCTCATAGCCCTCGGATTTATGTGCGATGGCTTCATGGATTGGAATTTAATACTCCGATATGTCAGCTGATGTCATGTTATCTGACTTATTAAACGCGGTGTATTTCTTTTTCATACGCTCAGCTAGCTTGCAGGATATGGAGAGCTGAGATGTATTTTTTTATTAGATATGTCACATAGACGCCTGCACGTCAAATTCACAGCATCAAATTATGGCTGGACTGTGATAGAGCAGGTTACCTGCTGTGGTTTGTCTTTAATCCCTGACAGTTTGGCTACATCCCTTAAAAAAAAAATAGAACTGTTTTTGTGGCGAAAAAGAGTCCTCCTGGGGGGGTTTAGCTCTCCTGCCTTCTGCTAGACACCCACTGAATTCAAATTTCAAAATTGCTGCTTGTTAAGCGGTAAATAAACACGATGGGAGCCATGTAGTGCACCATGTACACTAGAATACACAATGTAGTTACATCTTCTTTTTTTTTAAAGTATTGTGGCTCCTCATGCAGCACTGATGAATATAGAAATATTCACAGTACGCTCACGTCTTCACTTACAGCACTATTTTAATGTCAAGTTCATTTATCACAATTATACACTGCGGTCTACCTACACAGGGAAGGACTGTGATGTTTAATATTAATAAAGCCTAATAATTCAATTCAGTAACTGTGTGTGGATGCTCTGTGTGAACCTTGACATGTTTTTTAGGAAGTTGCCATGGTAACGCACTCCCTGGTTAGGGTGTGGGATCTGGTTCGGGGTGTGAGAGGTCCTCCTGTAGGCGCAGATAAAGACAGAGGTAGGACTATCTGGGTGGTTTGTTTTGCTCCCGGCTCTTTATCTGCTGCAGAAATGCTTCTGCTCCTTCTGCAAGTTTACATTTGCATTCGCAGATAAGTTTTAAAACATTCTGCGGTGCTTATAAGGACAGAAGAGGAAGGACGCTGCCACAAACCGGCCCTATCCGAGGCAATCAGACCAGCTCGGTGGACATTTAGTTCAACCGTTTGGAAAGAGAAGATTGTTTCTTTTTGCATAGAGCGTAAAATGCAAACTTAAATCCATTACATCATGTCGTGCCCGTCCTCACCCACAACTCGGTGCAGCTCCACTGGCTCACATCAGAGCAAAATGCACCACCGTGGGCATCATTTCTTAATACAAGCAGACTGATCAGGAAGCAGGCAAGATGGAACAAAACGACAGAGACATAGTAGATAAACATTTATTTTTACCCTTTACTCTGGTTAGTTCCAGTTCAGCGGTATGAACCGTCTGACATGGAGCCTCTTCATTCAGTGTTTTGAGTTCAGGCTGTTCATGAGGTTTACTGGTGCAGCTGCAGGTGCCATTAACCGTCCTCGTCCAACTGCCAAAAACTACACATCCCAACACCCCAGACTCTTTCACTGCAACGTTTTTGGTGGGAAAATATGAATTCTCTCAGACGTCCAAGTTGGCACTAAATTACTGTGTGTATGAAGTTGTTCAACAAAAGTTTGCATACGCTTGTAAAGTCCATGTAAATCACAGCAGTCTTGAGTTTCCAATGACTCCTAAAACTCAGAATCTTCTTTGATTGAATGACTGAACACATGCATCTTTGGCACAAAGAAAACCAAATATCATTCTTTTATAGATTTAATAATGGTTTTCTGAGAATGGAACAAAATGTGCTGGATCAAAAGTATACAAACAGCAACGCTAGGATTTGGTTAAATGGCCACTTTCTCCTCAACTAGACTCTTTCGGTGCTGTTTCTGGGGAAGAGTTTCCTTCAGCCCACGGCCATGTAAAACACACTGGACTGTGGACGTCTGTGTTCCAGCAGAATTCATTGCAGACCTGCTTTTTGCTGATTCTTGACCATCCTGACCAATTGTCTCTCAGCAGCAGGCGACAGTTTGTGTTTCCTTCCTGATTGCGACACCACCGTGCCACGTACTTTATACCTACAATTGTTCTCACAGTTTGGTTCTGGGGGTGTGTCGCTGCTTTAGAATGGCTCCAAGTGACTTTCCTGACTTGCTTTAGTTGTTGATTTGTCTTGGGCTCCTCAGGCTTTCCTGCTGTAGTGCTTATGGCTGAGCCTGATAAAATGGGCCCTAATTAAATTGGTTCAGAGAAGTCAGCAGCTGTAGTCAACTGTAATCACTCCAGAGAAGTTAAGTGGCCAAAATTGAATGAACACAGCTTTCACCAGAAGTGATGATGCAAGTTGCTGCAGTGTATTTTTGACCCAACAGATTTGGTCATATTTCCAGAAGACCTACAATAATGGTATGAAGAATTAAAATGCATGTGTTCCTATGATTCCACTTCTATCAATTAAGAGTTCTAGGAGTCATTGGAAACTCAAGATTGATGTGACAAACACGGTCTTTACAAGTGTACAGTCGTCCTCAGATGTATTCACACCCTTCCATTAAAGAAAAGGCAAAACTCACGATAGTCACTCAAATAACTAGAAACTGGAAAAAGTAATAATAAATAAAAATTTGATAAATTATATTTAAGTGGAATAAGACATTGTTTTTGAATTATGGTTGAAAAGAATTTAAAAAAAAAAAAAAAACTGTCCCTGACATATTGGAGCATGTCGTGATGTTCATGACACTTTTATTTATTATTACTTTTGTCAATGTCAACTTATTTCAGTGACCATCTTCTTTAACTGGAGGGTATGAAGACATTTGAGGACGACTGGATGTAAACTTTTGCTCACTACTGTAAACAAGTCATGTTGTTGAGGGTTAATCCACTCAATATGCACTCACTGGATTTTTCTTACGCCTTCGAAATCTAAAGAAATTCAATGCAGCTAGATTTTCAAAATTTTCTGCGGATGTTGTAAAAAAAGGAGATGATCTATGTTAATTATCGAGGTCACAGTGGGCAGTGGTGCTTATGTAAAAGACTTTTTTACATAATGAAAAAACTTTTCAGAGAGTTTTTAACAAAAGTTTTAAACAAATTCTCAATCAATCAAATCAGTGGGTGTTTTATTGTTTTTTTAATTTTAGACGGTTAAAGGTTCTGAACATACTGGCCCAGAACAGAGCGGGACATTAACAGTGTGCACTTAGTTCTTGCCTATTTCTTTAGTTTTACAAATTTAACATTTGTGCATCTTTTTACTTAATCAGCCTATCAGAGCACAGTTTGCATGTAGAGAATGAGATTTACCTAAACATTACATTCCAGTAGATTTTCCAGGTTCTTGGACTTCAGTTCAAGGTTTTCCATGAAGATAAGCTCATAAATTACAACACAGGTTTGGGAGAGATTAGAAAATAAACACAGTTTACTCCCTGTGCAGTAGAGCTTCCTTCGTCCTCCCATTAATCATCTCACAAGCCCTCTGACCTGCAGTCCTCTGACCTCTGGACTGCAGACCACACAACTTAACTAATTAGCTGTATATAAAGTAGTTAAAGTAGCTTCACCTCGACCAGCTGCAACACCAACAAGCTGCCTAAAAACTGTTGGATCAGTATTAACAGTCTAATAAACTATAATAACATGTCAGTCACAGGGCCGTTTGGACACTTAAAGTACATCTTGCTGGTGTTTTGCTTGTATGTTTGTTTTATTCTATAGCCAAGAGAGTAGACAGGCTCAGAAGAACAAATAACTGTGTTTCTAAATGAAATGTTGTGCCAATTTGTTCAACAATTACCTCTTTAATGTCACTAGTTCTGGAGTAATGTTGGAGGGAGGTGTCAGGTGAGTTTTTAAACTGCTAAAAATTCACTGACAGTGATCCTGACAGTAACCCAGTATCTACC